CATCACAGAGCGGATTTTGCAGGTGGGTGTCTGCAGCACAGCCGAGCGCTTGCCAAGTGTAATTTGCCATCTCTCCATCGCAGCGATGCTGCCCCAGACCACCCCAGGGAGAGGTTAGGAGGCATCCCGGTTTTCTGCACTTGGTGGGGACGATCCCGCGTCTCCCCACTGCCGTCTTCAGCCCTGCGGCACGGTATCGTCTGCTTGTGTCCCCACCACCCCCAGCTCTGCGTGCAGCTCATTCTCTTTGAAGAGCGACTTCAAATGAAGCAAAGCAAAAATAAAACATAAAACCCACTGTCTTTCAAAGAGCCAGGCGCAATGGAAAGTTGGCATCCCCCAGGAATGCACCGGGCTGTGCCAGGCCACAGCAGGGCATGGCACAGAGAGGCAGTGCTGGGTGGACCGTCACACCCCAGCGTGGGCACTGGGGCAGATGCACATGACTCTGATTTGGGGGGTTGTTTTGGCTCGCAGCGTTTCAGCTTGGATGAAGGAAGGGGCTGACAGCAGGATTTCTCCCTGCAGCTCCCCAGAAACTTTCGGATGAGCACACAATGCTGAGTGGGTCGGAGGTGGCGGAGGGTGGAGAGTGGCACCTTGCGTTTCTGGACACCCATGGGTGCCACGCACCGCCTGGTCACCCTGCCCATGCCGGCGTGCTGTGCTGAGGGACCGGAGCCCAGCACCACTGCCCTCCCTGCTGGGGCCAAGCCACAGCCCCAGGCTGGACAGGGTCCCTCTGCCCCGGCCATGGCCATGGGAAGTCACCCAGCCCCGCCCCAGGCAGGCGGCAGACACCTCTCGGGTTGGGATCAACATACGGGGAGAAGAAAAGCTCCCATTGTTCCCTCCGTCCCTTCTGTCTCGGGCAGGCGAGGAAGGGCTTGCCCTGTTCTCTCCACGACGATGCTCGGCTCTGGCGAGGGTGAGCAGCTCCCCAAAAGAGCCCGCCTGAGGCAGGGGACCTCATGGGGTGTGGGGGTGAGGATGGGGCACTGGGGAGGGCCCTGGAACAACGGGTGCTGGAGGTGAGAGGATGTGGGGAGCCCAGTGGCAGGGGTTCGCTGGGGGGTCACCATGGAGATCAGGGATTGGGATGTGCCAGGGAGGATGATGGTGTGTGCAGAGGTGCTCTCCGTCACCACGCCCGCCTGAGGCAGGGGACCTCATGGGGTGTGGGGGTGAGGATGGGGCACTGGGGAGGGCCCTGGAACAACGGGTGCTGGAGGTGAGAGGATGTGGGGAGCCCAGTGGCAGGGGTTCGCTGGGGGGTCACCATGGAGATCAGGGATTGGGATGTGCCAGGGAGGATGATGGTGTGTGCAGAGGTGCTCTCCGTCACCACGGTCTGGG